CTACTACTACTACTACTACTACTACTACTACTACTACTACTACTACGACTACTACTACTACTAAGACTACGACTACTACTACTACTACTACTACTACTACTACTACTACTACTACTACTACTACGACTACTACTACTACTACTACTACTACGACTACTACTACTACTACTACTACTACTACTACTACTACTACTACTACTACTACTACTACTACTACTACTACTACTACTACTACTACTACTACTACTACTACTACTACTACTACTACTACTACTACTACTACTACTACTACTACTACTACTACTACTACTACTACTACTACTACTACTACTACTACTACTACTACTACTACTACTACTACTACTACTACTACTACTACTACTACTACTACTACTACTACTACTACTACTACTCCTCCTACTACTACTCCTATCCTTATTCCTTATTAGAATATACTCCTACTCCCCCCTCAGGCCGGCCAGATAGGGGCCGCATCCGGGTGGTCCCATCCTAACCTGTAAAAAACAATACAAAATCAACATTTTTCTTATTTTTTCCTCTCGACATGGACGTCCTGTCGTCCACGGCGATAATCCATTGCAAAAAATACAACAAAGAGCACACGCGCGCGTTCATGTCAGAATCCTACCGAACACCTTGTGTTTGCAAGCATTTCAACATAAAAACATCAAAAACCCAATGTTTTTTCACAAAAATTCTACAAATTTCCTGCCCGGGCTCTCTTGCTGAAATCATAGGAAAACCATAGGAATCTTAAGAATTCGGTCAAATCCAGCGATTTCACGTCATCGCGCGGTGCACTCGCGATGCTCTGTCATGCACCCAGGCCGCGAATCCTGTGCAAAAAATACAACAAAGAGCACACTCGCGCGTTCATGTCAGAATCCTACCGAACACCGTGTGTTTGCAAGCATTTCAACATAAAAACATCAAAAACCCAATGCTTTTTCACAAAAATGCTTTGGGGTGTCCTGTCAGACCGTCGGGCTTCCTCCGGCCACCTCTGGCTTCCTGCGGTGTACCGGGCCATTCTCGACTCGTCTGGCAATGCGTGCGCGGCATTCAACACGCGCTCGCCAGTTCCCGTCGGCAACCGCCATCGCGGCCGCATCAGCTGTACCAAACCGGCTGGCCGGTGTGACTTCGGCCCCCAGTTGTGCCAGCTTTGCTTCTTATGTTGTGGGAGGGCGGGTGGGACTGGGCATGCCATGCTTGACTCGCTCGAGCTGGCTAGCTTGACTCCTACTCCTACTCCTACTCCTACTCCTACTCCTACTCCTACTCCTACTCCTACTCCTACTCCTACTCCTCCTCTCCTGGGCCCAGAGCGTAGAACTAGGGGGCGCACATCCCAGCGTAACAAGCTTGTGGTTCAGCGGGCAGAAATACTTGACGATCAGAAGCAAGTTCTGATCCTCGCGCCACCTCGGGAAAAACGCACGCACGCGGGCCCTGATCCTTCTGCTCCTGGGGCCACCTGAACACCCTAGTAAGTTGGTGAACAACAACACCGCCACAGACTGGACGCCAGGGTGCAGCGACACCGACTCAAGGCAGCAAAAGCAAAGGCGCGAAGATCGTGGCGCCACTCCTGCAGGCAGGCAACCAGACCACCAGTAGTATCTCTCACCCCGTCTTGTCCAACAGGGCACGCAGCTCATACCGATGGAACATCCACGAAACCTCTGGCGATTCGTGCATCACGTGTGAGCCGTCAACATCTCGGCCCCCGATGGTCACGGGCCCCTGATGGCCCTGGACCCTCCAAAGGCAGCCTTGGCCCACAGGAGGCAACCTCGAGGCGGAGGAGACGAAGGAGGAGAAGCAGGATCGAAAGGAGGAGATAGCGAGGGAAGGGGCATGGGGGCAGGGGAGGGTGGGAGGAAGAGGACAGGACGACGACGACGACGACGACGACGAGGAGGACGAGGACGAAGGACGAGAACGAGGACAAGGGTGGGTGAAGAGGAGGAGCAACAGCAGCAGCAATAATAAAAATTACAAATCTACAAAGCCGTCGAGATAATCAAGAAACAAATCACCGCGACGAAAGACGCAGCACCTACTCCAGGCCGTCGCTGGGCGATATGGCTTTGGGGCTGTAGAAATAAACTTCTCGCAAGAGCTGGTTCCAACACCGTATCAGATGAGAACGGTCGCATGCTAGCCGGTAACGCTGTGTCCCAGATCTCGGCAAATCTGCGTTGCAAACCGGCGCCCATGCCGTGTCGAGCCCGACCAGCCACTCTATCGGACACCAGCATTGTAGGTGATGACGACTGTTTCTGCGTCAAACGTTCAGATGCTGTTCCTGTCTCGCAGTGACAAGTCCTGTTGTCATTGCCGGCTCTTTGCTCAAGCTGACCACAGCATTGCAGCTGATGGTGTTGTCATTACTCCGTGCATTTACACCTGCTGTCTCTACTGCCTGCCTTCTCGCACGAGCTGATGGCAGCAAGAAGACGAGGAGGACATTGAGGTGGGGTAAGAAGGCCCAGCGAAGAAGAGCAGAAGGACGGGAAGGATGGGGAGGATGGCAGGAGGTTAAGAGACGGGGACAGGAAGAGGAACACAGGGATGGGGAGGAGGGGGGATGCAGCGAGAGCGACGTTCGAAGAGCTGGGCCCACGTCACTAGCTGGTCGGGCTTGTCGCTCTCCTTGGCGGGTTTCCATTTGTACGTGTCCTGGCGGCTGGACAGCGCCCCTCTTTGAAGGGAGCAGGATAGCAGGACAGGGCACGAGTATGCTGCTTTTGTATGCCTGTCTTCGTGCTCTATATATATATATATATATATATATATATCAATGCACGCGTTTGTGGTGACCGGCGACGGACCAGGACCCCCAGGCCCAGCGGCCCAACCCCGATGCGACGCGGGTGGCGGGGCCGCCACCGACGACTCCGTGATCCTGCGACTATCCCGCGGCGTGGTCTTTGACCGGAAATCGCTCTCACCGCAAAGGTAACGCAAGCCTTTTAGGCAACACCGAACAAGTAGATGAGCCAATATGGAAATTCGCCGACCCCTGCTTGCCGGGGGGAGAAGGCGCGTGGGATGATTCGCTTTCCGCCTCCCCTCCCCGTTTCCCTCTCTTCTAAGAATCAAAAATCCTGTGAAAGGGGGGGTCTCTGGGATCCCTGGCGCACCCCGGGAGAATCCAGAGCTTCCAAAACTGCCTTCCGTGGCCTCTGAAACGTTCCAAGACGGCACCGAATCGCGGAACGATGGGCCCAAGACGCCCACGATGGCTCTAAAACGCCCCAAGGCGCCTTCGACGCGCCCCCAGAGCCTTCCCGGGAGAGCCCCGACAGGCAAAAACCAATGGTTGTCCTCTGTTTCGTGATACTTTCTGGGGTCATCGTCTTCTCGAGCTTCCGACGCCCCCCGAGACGGCCCACGAGGCCGTAAACCACCCAGAGAGGGTCCCAAGACCTGGCCCAAGACGGCAGAAGGTCGCCCAGAGGGCCCCAAGAGAGGCAAAGAGGGAGAACGCGAACCGAAAATCCGATTCTTCCGCCCCAAAAGGCCCCCCAAAAACCCCAAGAAGCCCCCAAGCGGCCCAAGAGGCCCCCCGAAGGCCGAGTCTTGCCATCCGACGATCGACGAAGCCGAAGCGTTCCTGAGCGCCCCCCGCGATCGCCCTGCCCCCTGGGAGTCGGCAGTAACATTCCGACAAAGAAAGGGATGCGCAAGTAGAGCGGGAAAAAAATGGGCCAAACGGGAATTCGAAGATGTCCAGCCCTGCGCGGAGCATCCAGGCCAAGAGGGACCTTGGCGAGCAACAGCGCCATGAGCACGTCAACTCCCGCCCTCGCCACGGCCCCTCGCCCGCCACCGAAATCCAACACCGCTCCGCGTTGGAGGATCTCCACCGCAACCTCGTCTGCGATGGCCCGTGCCGTCGCGCCTGCTGCGATGGCGCACGGGCACGCCACGTCGTGTTCCAGCCCTGGACCCCAACGTGGAAGGGCCTCCGTGAACGCCACGGCGGCACCCCTGTCGGTAGCAACGAAGCACTGCGCCGCAGATGCGAAGCTGACGCAGCGCGCTGCCCACCGCCATGGCACCGCTGCTGCCTGCCGTCGTGGCCGGCGCTGAAGGTCGTCGTCTGGGTTGCCCAGCAGCGGCTTCGGGCTCCGCTTGCGCCTCGGCGCCCGGCTGCGCCTGCGCCTCGGCGCTGGGTTGCGCCTGCGCTTCGGCGCTGGATTGCACCTGCGACTGGGCAAAGGTGTCAAGGCGCGCCTTGGGTCTAACTCCGCGGCCGGCTCCTCGTCATGCGACCAGCACGGTGGTTCCTCGGCCGACGGCGCCTCCTCGGCAGGCCCCTCCTTCACCTCGACCTCGAAGACCAGAGGAGAGGCGCCGCGAAGCCGCACTTTCCAGCGGCAGGCCTCGCTGCGAGGCTCCCAAGGTGGACACGAGCAGGTGCGAGTCGCCCTCTCGCGTGCCAACTCCAAGCGACGCTCCGCCCGCCGCGCCGTGGCCTCCGGCGCGTGGAAGTGGTGTCCGCACTTTTAACGGTCCTGCGGCCTCCCCGCAAAGGATACGAGTCGAAGTTCGCGCAGTGGCTGACGTAGCCCATGTGCTGAAACGACATGTGCAATGCCAGCCCAGCCTGGCCGCAAAGCGCCGAAGCGCTCCGCTACCAGAGTCGAAGCGATGCGAGAGATTTCCTCTCTTTCTTTGCCCCCTGGAAGTCGGCAGCGGGATCCTGGCGAAGAAGGGGATGTGCAAGAAGAACGGGGCAACTGGGGGAATGCAGTTGGTGCAGACTTGCTCACCAGAACTTACACGGCGGCGGAAGCGGCGAGCAGGGGGGGAAGCCCCTCACTGCATGAGGGAGCACGTGCCCCAACCCCCCCGGGCGACCATGGGGCGCATAGCCGAGCGGAGAACAGCGCACGCACCCAGGGGCGCCGACGGCCCGCGCCCTCGGCGCGAACGCGCGCAGTGCCCGCCCCTGTGGCGCTTCCCCCCTGGCCGTCGCCCCCGACGGAGGCCGCCGAAGACCCGGCGGCTCCACCGGCGCAGGGGCGGATAGCCCCCCGGGCCACGCACCAAGGGAGCAGCGGGCGGCAGCGGGGCGGCACGCGGGGCGCCGAGGCCGACGGGCCCGTCGTCGTCGTCGTCGCAGCCGCCGCCGCCGCCGCCGCCGCCGTCGTCGTCGATCGGGGCTCGACGGTCGAGGAGCGGGGCACGAGCAGCGAGGCTCGGGGACGGCGGCCCTGAGGAGCATCGTTTCACCGATATCCCCGTCCCCACCCGCATGGCCTGGGCCCCACTGGCAGGCTTGCCCCCCCCCCAAGGTGGGGACGTGGGCAGCTTCTGTCAGATTTCGAAGGGTGGATCCCCAACTGGGGGGATGGATTGGTGGGGGCCTGGACAGGGACGGGGATGGGGATCGGTTAAAGGGTACTCCAGATTTAATAATAAAAGGGAGGGGGTCTGGACCCTCCAAGACAAGCCATTTCAGACCTCCCCCATGGGAGAACCCTCCACAACATCGTCCCCCGACCCCCCAGGCCCTCCAAGATGGCCTGGAAGAGACCCCCCCCGGAACGAGACCCCCCTCCCTTGATTACGAAATCTGGAGCACTGACCTGAGATCTCCAAAGGCCTCAGAGGATCGGCGGAGGCGGGCGTGAGCCCGCTCGAGCCCCGTCGGAGGGAGCCCCCCCCCCTGCGGAGCGGGCGGGGGGCGCAGCGGGGCAGCACGCGGGCTGCACCGCCCCGACCCGGCCGACCCGGCGCGGCGGCACGGCGCGGCAGGCAGGCGCCGGCGGGAGCGGGAGTGGGAGAGGGATCGATGACTAGGGAGCCCACAAAGGACGTACGCGCCCAGCTATGTACATGAACGCGGCCCCTCGATTCGCGAGAACGGCCGCGTTGTACGAACAGTTGTGCAATGCGTGCTCTCGAAACCAGCGTGGATTCATGTACATGTACGTCCTTCTTTCGCTCCTGAATGACGCAGTCCTACAAGGACATGTGCGGCTTCCTGGACAAAACTTTCGGTCTCAAGCCCCTGTTTACAGTCGGGGCCCGACCACAAGGAACCGTCCGCAAGAGACTCTCAACCCTGAGGCCCCGGGACGTCCGTGGACTTCTGGTGTGGGAGCGCCACGAATTCCATCGCAAAGCCATCGAAACCCAAGGAACCCAGGGCACCCTGGAGGTAAGCAGGGTGTGTCTTGGCATGGGCCTCCTCCGTAGCCACACGAGGACATGTAGGGCTTCCGAGGCAAAACTTTGGATCTCAAGCCCGGCGTACGCCTGCCCAGGAACTCCCGCCGCTTCTTGGGCACGTGCAGGGGATCGCACGGCCTGGCTCGGCCGCAGGGCGGAGGGGCGCACGGGGCCCCTGCTGTTCCGCGTGATTTCATGAGCACCCCTCCGTGCCGCGCCACGCCGGGCGACCAGCTCGCTGCAGCCCCCCTCCCCACGCGCATCGAAAACACCCCCCGCGCGATGCAACCCCCCAAGCCTGTGGGACAAGTGTGAGCAAGCTGCGCCCGCTGCGGGCCAGGACCAAGGATCGAGGAGATCTGGACCGTTGCAGACCCCTCCCTGGGCCCCCAGGGGCATCCTGGGACAGACCTCCGCAGACAGTCGTCGTCGTCGTCGTCGTCGTCGTCGTCGTCGTCGTCGTCGTCGTCGTCGTCGCCGCCGTCGTCGTCGTCGTCGTCGTCGTCGTCGTCGTCAGCGTCGTCGTCGTCGTCTGGGGCGGAACTGAAGCCCTCGCGAGCGCTGCGGGTCCATGGAATAGCCCTTGGCGAAGCAGACGAGCACCGTCAGGTACGGATCGCTGGGGTCGAAATGCGGCGCGCTGAAGGTCGGGATGCTGTTCCTCGGGGGCTGGCGCGCGGCCGCCGAGAGGAGCGGACGCTGCTCTCTGGCCTCCTGCCCCGGCCCGGCGGTGGAGCCGAAGAAGGCTCCCCTCGTGCTCTGTCTCCCTCGGCAACGCCCTCGCTCGGAGGACGCCGAATATACACGCGCACTGGCCCTGACATCCTGGGCCCAGGATCGAGAAGTCCCTGCTGGCCTGGCCATGAAAAAATGTAGCATCGATCGTCGGGGCCCTACTCCTCCTCCTTTTCTTCTTTTTCAAATTACGATCCGCATTGATATAATTATTCCTCTTAGTAATATTGTTCGCCCTCGTCGTAGTATTCTTCTTACGGGTAGTATTATGATTCGTAGTAGTAGTTTGTTTCTTCCTATGACGATCCTGACTAGTATTCGTATTAGTTTTGTTTTGTTCATTGCTATCACTATTAAAAGTGTTATTCATACGTTTCTTCGTAGTAGTAGTCTTGATAATATTAGTAGTGTTAGTTCTATTAATACTATTACCATTCGTGCTGTTCGTCGCATTCGTGATAGTATTATCAATATTCGTAGTAATAGTAATAGTCTTATTGTTCGTATTGATACTATTATCATTATTCGCATTAATACTCCTGTTCATATTATTCCTCCTCCTCATCCTCCTCCTCCTCCTCACCCCACGCGAAGGTGCGAAGAGGAGGGAGACGGGGATGAGGACGGGCGGGGAGGACGAGAGGGAAACAGACGAAGGATGGGGAGGAAGGACAAAAGGAGGGGGACGAAGCAGGGACAAGCTCAGCACGCAGCAGCAACAGCGGAGTGGGGGAGGAGAACGAAGATGGGGGGAGGAACGACAACAGCAAGGGGAACTGGAAGGAAGGAGGATGAGGAAAGCGACGGCGACATGAGGAGAAATGATCGCATGATGCACGACTTAGACAAATTCATCGCGAAGAGAATTCGCCACATAACCCTACAAAACACGATGAAATATCACCGCAGAGGCCGCGCAACATGCCGCACCCAGACCTCCGCCGCCGTGTTTTTCTGGACGTGGGCCCTCGGAACTCTGAATGCCTTCCTCGAGACGGTGACGAACTTCATAAGCTCAACCGGCAGACCCCTTCCACCCAGGAATGGCCGCCCGCTCGCGACCCGCACTTGGGCGAAACGCCGCGCACGAGGGGTGGCACAGGGGAGGACAAACCCAGAAACAAAAAAAAAAAAAACATCGAAAACGCAACTCGCGAGCCGCACCCCGCGACCGCGCGCTCGCGCGCTTGCACGATTGCACGACCGCGCGCACGCGGCCCAATCTCATATCGCCATTACCCACGTCTCGGTTCATTTACCCTCGCTTCCTTCTTCCATCGACGGGCGCCCCAGCGACCTGCGCCACTCGCAGGCGCGCGCCCGAGAGTAATAGATCCACGCCAAGCAGAAAGCTTCCTCATTCTCGCCCTCGCGCCATTTGCAATCGCCGCGCCAATGCCACCAGAAGCGGGGCCAAGGCCCCAGCGGCCACCGATGGTGCAGCACGCGCCGCCCCGGCGCGATTCGCTGCCCACGGCCCCGACGCCGCTGATCAATCCAGCGCCATCGCCCGCGAGCGGCTGCCCAGTCTTGAAGCGGGCGCTGCGCCACGTCGACTTGCGCCCCAAACTCTCCCATCACAGCTTGGAGACGGCAGCGGCGGCCTTGAAGCAGTAGTCCCACGACGCATTCGGGTCGAGGGTGCGCGGCGCGCGCTGTACCTGAGCCGCCGCGCACTCCCGTTCGGCTCGCCTCCTGATGAGGTCCGCGCGCCCGAATCACAATCACTGATCCACCGGCGCAGCGTGCCGGCATCGGTCGGATGCGCGACAAACCTCCCACCCTCGCAAACTGGCTCACGGACCCGCCAGCCGCCGCGTCCTGTCGCCGAGGACCCCCCCCGCATGGCGCACAGATCCGCGCTGGACCCCCGACTACATCCCAGAAACACACGAGGCGTCTTCGCCCTGGACCCAAGAGGGGCACAGTCAGGGACGGGAGACCCAAATTGCACGAGCAACTACTCGAAACCTTCCCCGAACCCCCTATTCCCCTGGGACCCCCCCCCGCCCTTCTGCACGGAAAAACGCCGGCAAGCAAAAATACGAACCGCAAACGCCCGGAACGGAGGCGGAAGACCCGCAACCAAGAGGAAGGCCGCCCCCCCAGCCTGGACACGTTCGCGCCCCCCTCCGGCAACTGAGTCGCGCCCCTCATGCCCTGGGATGGCAGGGCCACGCGCTATCCTGAGCTCCCGACTAGCAAAAGCAAGCTCAATTGCACGCGCCTAATGTTCGCCAAGAACGAAATGACGTGCTTCGCAAACTGGTCATAAACTCCGACAGCAGCCAAGAACTGCGAATACAGGCCACGGACCCCCCGCGAATATTCAACAGCCGCGAACCAGCGATCCACGGCGCACGGCGCCCCGACTTCTTCGGATCAGTAGGCGGCGAAAACACGCGAACAGAAACGCGATTATGAGCACGCACCCGCTGAGACCGCAGCGCCCTCCCTGGTTCGCACGCCTTGCCGGGAACGAGTGAGCAGGCACTGGAACGGCACTGCGGCCCAGCATCAATCGTTCCTCACCTGTCAAATTAACATCCGATTCCTCAGGTTCTGCGGAGAACCTCGACCACCTCGACCTCGGTTGCCGCTCCTATCTCGTCGCCATCGGCCACGGCCCACCCGCGGTCCGGCGCCGCCTCGGCCTCCCGCGGGGGCGCGAGCCCCACGGGCGACCCGCCCCCGGCGGCGAGGCCACCAGCAGGAGGCGCCAAGACACGTGCCGCCCCCGGCGAGACACCCACCCAACCGTTGACAGCAACCGCCTTCGGCTAAAAGCACGAATGGATGACTACGCCAGAGGGTCCGCGAATTCCTCGGGGCCCTCTACGCGCTTCGATCCCCATCGTCACAAACGCGCAACGCAACCACCTCATTCGGGCGAAGCCAACGACCAAAGCGGCTCTTGGTAGACTGGAGCGGAGGCCCCCCCGACCGGCCCAGATCGCCCAGACAAGCCCCAGCGCGCGGCGCCGCGCAAGCCCGCCGTCGACAGCGCTTTCTCGTCAGCGGCCGCCACGCCCACTCGACCCAACGCCTCTCTGCCTGAGAAGGTCAGACAAGAAATACTGGCATCGACAATGAAGTCGACTCTTTTCCCGCTTGGCAAAACGAGATAGGGCGACCTCTGGTGCTCCAGCACGAAGCTACACCCAACGGCGATCACCCTTGAGCCCACCGGCACCGCGCCCGGCGCCCCTGGAACGGCGATGAACTAAAACAGATGGGCCATGAAGTTCACGGCATGAACACGTCAGCGGCTACGCCCACTGAACCGACGGCCCTACTTTGCCCCAGCAGCGCCCAGAACAGTCGGCGTCGGCCACCCGACCATGCGATCCATGACACCTGCCGTTAGCAAACTCCCCAGCGATAAACTTAAAGCCAAGCCTCGCGGACACGGGTTGCAACAAGCTGCCCTGCCTGGGCGCGGCGCGCTCTCCCGCCCGCTCATCCCGCAGGCTCCACGCCCCGTCCTCCGCTTCGGAGGCCTTCGACGAAGAAATCAGGCGGCCTCGCGACCATTTCGCTGCTGCTGCCCCATTTTCAGAAGGCATTCCTCAATAGTCTTCAGCTCCATCGGGGCGCGCCTACCAGGAGACCGACGCCCGCCCCCCCCCCTGCCTCCCCCCGAGGTCAGCGCCGGGCCCGACTCTAACCGACTTGGCAGGCATCGACCCAGCAAGCCCTTTCTCCAAGAGAGCAGAACTCAAGGGCCTCGACGACGGCGCGGTTTCAACGGCGCGCGCCGGGGAACCGAGCCTCACGCACAAACAGAATTTCCTCGGCTCGCCGCCCACCCACCCCAGCAGGTGCAGCGCCAGCGACGCCATTGGGGCCCGATTCCCCGCCCGTCTCCGCGTCGCGCGACGACGCTCCTTTCGCGGGCAAACCCCAGGCCGAAGAACACCTGGGGGCAACCAATGGCACGGTCGAGCTTGCGCGGCCACGCGGTTCCAGACGCAGGGCCCCTGATGCTCCGGGCCGCTTCACCGCGCGCGCCGGCGGCGGGGGGGGGGGCGGTCGCCGCGGGGAGGGCGGCGCCGGGGGCCGCGCCCCCAATCGCCGCGCCCACCTGCGATGGATGGTCGGCCACCATATCGTTCTGGGCCGCGATTTTCCCTCCGCCCATTCCACCGCGGCCGTTTTGCCCGCGGGGGGGCCGCGCCCTCCGCGCTTGCCCTAGCAGCGTTCGCACGTTGTCCTGCGCGCGGATATCAGAGCGACCAACCCCTGTGCGGATCGCTCCTCCCGCCACGCGCCGCGCGTCAGTTTTCCCGCGCCAGTGAGCCCGCGGTTGTCTTTTCCGCGCCCGCCGTCGAAATGGCATCCGCCGCCGTCACGGCACAAACTCCCCCCCAGCAGTCGAGGTGGAGGACGTGGAGGACGCGCGCGAAGACTGGCGAGATGCCCCGGTAGACCGAGGCGCGCCACCTGCGGGGCGAGGGGCAGCGTCTCTGACGCGGCCACAACTGTTTCGCATTGTTTTTAAGAAACTTCGTCTCCGCTCATCCATCTGCCCCGCCCCCCCCCTCCTTTTTCTCTTTAACCCCCCGCCCCGCATCTTTGGCCGTGGCCGCCCAGCCGCGGTCAAGCAGACACTTCGCCCGTCTAAACGCGACCCACTCGCAGCGCTCGCACGCGGCTTATCTTTCCGGGGCGCCCCATCCTCAACGCGCAAGCCCCCCGCGGCCACTCGGGGCCGGGGCGGCGCTCGAAGCCCCACATGCGGAGATGATGCGACCCCCTTGCAATGTTCGACCCTAGCCCCCAGGGCGACACCACCCTCTCGATTCGCACATTCAACCGCAGGTGGGACTTGCTTTCGCCGCCCGCGTCGCCCGGGTGGAAGCCGCACATCTGCAATATCTGATTCGATTTGACATACGTCCCGAACGCGGAACGGCTGGCCGCGCTCGATCGCACGGAGGGCCCGCGCGCTGCTCATCGCCACGCGCCGAATCTCGTTAAGAGTCAAAAGATCCACTTCCTCGCCAGCCTCGCGACCGCGCCCCCGAGTGCGCGGCGAAACCACGCGCGCATCTGGCCGCGACCCCCCCCCCAGAACAGCGAAGCTAACAATCATCCTGACTATCCCACGACACCAATAGCAACTCCCGTTCGTCTCGGGCGGGGCCCCGTCGGATCGCCCAACGCCTGCCGCCGGCCTGGCCGGCGCTCTCCAGCCCCAGCAAGCCGGTCGCGCTTCGCGACAAAGCCAACAAGGATTGCGCTGCCCAAACGGAGGACGAGGGCAAGGCCCCCCAATGCCTCCGCCGGCACCTCGCATTCAAGAGCCTTCTCGAACCAACGCAGTGCAACCTCGGAGTCGCCGTCGGGACCAGCTACCGCTCTCGCCGCTGGACTCTGCCAGCGAGCGAACGACGCAGCGTCGGTCAGAACGACCTCAAGTCCAGTCTTATGTCCGACCGCCCCGTTGCCATCGTTCAACCACGCCCGGGCCCCTGAGCCCCCGCCGCGAGGCGGCCCACCCCCACCCGGGGTGGCCGCCGCCACCGATCCGCCCGGCCCCGCCCCCGGGCCCGCCGCCCCCGGGCACGTCGGGCCCATCGCCGCCCGAAGGACCACCCGGTCCCCCAGGGCAGGAGTCTCGCCGCGGACCTGGCCCAGGCGGGTCGCCCCCGCCCCTCCTCGCCGCGGGGCCCACCGGCTGCCCCCAACGGCCGGGGCCGGGATCCGTCGCCCCCAGCCCCGCCAGGGTTGGGGCCAGGGCCTGACCCTCGACCTCTGGCACCCCTCGGATTCCCCAGCCCGGGGCCGGAGCCGGGCCCCGACCCCCGTGCTGGCGAGCCACCAAGCAAACAACAGCAGGGGCCCCAGCGACTTTGGGACTTTGGGTTCTTCAGCAACTCTGTCAGCGTTTCATCGATTGGGACCGCCACGGCTGCTTCCTCGGCCTCCGTGGCATCTGCGGTATTATCCAGCCGTTCGGCTTTCCGTATCATCGAGCCTCTGCCCTTCCAACTCACGCAGGCGTCGAAGTCTCCGTCGCTCTTCCCCCCGAGCATCCCTGAGGGCGTCCTCAAGGGCCCAGGCCTTCTTGTCGCGCCAAGAAAGCATTTCCCAACGCGGTGGTCAATATGATGCCCGCAGCGTGGGCCCCGACAATCCACGCAATCAACAGGCCGAAATTTCTTGAAGGAGAAACACCACATCGGGTTCACACCACCCGCGCCTGCGATGGCCCCGCCATCGAGGGCAGCGGCGACAGCGCCCTGCTGCAGCACAGCAGCGCCGGCCCCCGCGCCCCGGGAAGCAGCCGCGCCGCTTCGGCCATGGCCAGCCTCGCCCTCAGAACTTCTACCACAATTTGCTCCGCCCGCGCCCGATCGCCCAAGTGAGCCTGCCAGGCGAGCACGCCTTCGTTATTTTTATGTTGGCGCCACGCTCGACGCAAGCCCTTGCCCGTAGTTATCCTGGACCCCGGCCGCGGCCGCGGCCGAGGCGCGGCCACATTTTCTTGCCATGATAGCCATTCCCTCTGCTTCGATGCTGGGAGCACAACAGTAGGAACCCACACTCTTCCTCAGCACCAGTCTGGACCGCTCAAGCGCGGTCAACGGCTGCCTGGGCAGCGCCCAGCGGCTCAGCAACTTCTGCGCTGACCACTGCCTCCTGAGATTCGGCCTCCGAAGCCTTCTCTTCGCGGGCCGCTCTGTAGGGTGCCTGCACCTGCCGCTCGAGCTGTTCTTTCGCGCGTTCTGTCTTGAGCGCCGCACTTTGCTGCTGAGCAGTCTCCCGTTCGGCTTGCTCGAGCGCATAGCAGTTGCTTTGTCTCTGCGGCAGGCATTCTGCAAAAAAATGCGACCGCTACCAGAGCACGCAGAGCAGACAGCCCTCCGCACATCCCAGTCTTCCCACGACAACGGCTCTGGGCGATCTGCGAGCTGAGGGGGGCCACATTCCAGCAACGCTCAGCCGTGGACACACACCTTACCGCCGACATCACGGATCCAACTGGGGAACGTCTCTCGGCAGAACCTTGTCATCCCAGCTACCTTTCTTTGCCGGCTACGACGGCCTCACAGACTGCCCCGATCTGGCAGTGGGTTTCGCCCGCGACGGAGATGGGTCCTGGCGCAGAGGTACAAGCCCCTCGGACAAGACCATGGGCGGCGACCGCACTCGTCGGAACTGGCCCTGAAGCAAATCCCCCTATGATAGCGTGTGCACCACGCCCGCCGATCGCGCTTTCGCCGCTTGTGCCCGAAGTGGACCCAGGGGGCAAGGCCCCCGACGTCAACGTAGGCACCCGTTCGAGGGGACGCAATCGGGGTCTCACAAGACCTCTTTCCCCCTTCGTTCGTCTCAGGCTGTCCGCTTCCGTCGCGGAATCGCCTGGACGTGAGTCTTTTCTAATGGCGCTTCCCTTGCCAACCCACGGTCGCTGCCTCAGTTCTGGCAGCCCATTCCAGGGCGTGTCTGGGGTGGCACAAGCCTGCTGACTGCGCGCGGTCGCTTGGGACTCTCGCCCCGTCTCTGAAACCAGGGGAATGAACACTTCATTCGGCCCATCTCTTTTTTGCATGACAGGGTTCGGGGGTCAACGGAAACGATAGCCCTTGTGCTGGGAGACGAGCTCTCTGGCAGGTCAGCACCGGAGACTTGCATAGTGGGTCGATGGATGTCAAGGACGTCACAAATGGGAGAGGCCAGGCCACCTCTCAGCTGAGTCTGCCCTTGGAATTGCGTGCCCCTGGCCTTTTATATGGCCACTGCTTCTGGAGCCGACTGGGGAAAACCCCAGGCTCAGCTCATTAACTTCATCTTCTGAGGAGACTGACTCGCCACCCGACGACAGAGGCCAGGAGGGAATCTCTCCAGGCAGCCTCTCATGATTAGGCCTGAGTGTCCGAGGAATCGCAGGACGACATATCTTCGGCTGAGAGAACATGAACAGAGGTTCTTTGACATGATCTTCCCGAAGGTTGTTTCCACCTTGTGGGTCACGGGACTCATGCAGACGTGTCGGAACGCTAAAGCTCCCATGACCTGGCTAATGGCATTCAGCATCACCATGGTATCTAAGATTCGCAGTGATTTGCGAGATGCTCGTCAATTCTGACGAGTGGGTTCGGTCAGTGCCCTGATATCGTAGCTGTGACTGTTCCTTCATGAGGCTCATGGGAGGTCTCTAGTCGTGGGCGTACGCCATAGCCCCTGCGAGCATATGCCTGTTACATAAGCGGCATTGGAAAGGGGAACGCCCGCGCGGGCCTTGTCTCTGACGCAAGGCGCGCCTCGATCGACAGTAGCTGCGGAGACCCGCAGCATATCCAAACAGCTGCTCCGGCCAAGGTCAAACGGACACCTGGATGAAACAGTATGTATTAGCGGCAGGGGTAGCAATGATAACTCATCATCATCATCATCATCATCATCATCATCATCATCATCATCATCATCATCATCATCATCATCATCATCATCATCATCATCATCTTCATCATCAGCGTCAGCATCATCATCAGCATCATCATCATCATCATCATCATCATCATCATCATCATCATCGTCATCATGGTCATCATCATCATCATAATCATTATCATCACCACCACCATCATCATCATCATCGTCATCATCATCAGCATCATCATCAACATCATCATCGCCATCATCATCATCATCATCATCATCATCATCATCATCATCATCATCTCCATCATCATCATCAGCATCATCAGCATCATCATCATCAACCTCCTAATCCTCCTCGTCCTCCTCAGCATCATCATCATCATCGCCATCATCATTATCAGCATCATCTTCGTCATCATCATCATCATCACCATCATCACCATCATCGTCATCATCATAATCATCAACAACAGCATCATGAGCAGCAGCATCAGCACCACCACACCCATCATCATCATCATCACCGTCAGCAGCAGCAGCATGATCGTCATCCAGATCCACATCATCGTCTTCTTCATCATCGTCATCATCATCATCATCGTCATCATCAGCAGCATCATCATTGTCATCATCGTCATCATCATCATTATCAACATCATCAGCATCGTCGTCGTCGTGGTCATCAGAATCATCGTCATCACCACCATCACAAACACCGGCATCGTAATTATTATTTGTATCATCAACGGCATCCTCATCATCATCATCATCATCATCATCATCATCATCATCATCATCATCATCATCATCATCATCATCGTTATCATCATCATCATCAGCATCATCATCATCATCAATAGCAGCAGCATTATCATCATCATCATCATCATCATCATCACTCTCAGCATCAGCAGCATCATTAGCATAATCAGCAATATCATCATCATACGCATCATCATCAGCAGCAGCATCATCAGCATCATCAGCATTGGAATCATCATCATCATCATCATCATCATCATCATTGCCATCATCGTCAGCATCAGCATCATCGTCATCATCATCGTCATCATCATCGTCATCATCATCGTCATCATCAGCATCATCATCAGCATCATCATCAGCATCAGCATCATCATCAGCATCATCAGCATCATCATCATCCTCATCCTTACTTCCTCTGCCCCTCACGGAGTGCCGCGCGTGCCGACCAAAGCACGCAGGAGCGAGCGCTCAACGGGGAAGCGATTCGCAGTGGGGGACTCGGTCCTCAGGCTGGCCTTCGGCTCCACGTGAGCGAAGCGCAC